CCCCAAAACCCCAAAACCCCAAAACCCCAAAACCCCAAAACCCCTCAACATAAGGAAGATATTGAGATGTTATTCTGTCAATTTAGTGCTATTCTACTTGACTAGTTTATGGGGCTCTGTGACTCCTGCTACTATTTGTCTCAATGCTTGATCTCTGTAAGATCTAAGAGCCTTTCTGACATCCTTGACATTATTCACAACCAATGATCTGAGAAGAGGGATCAGATCATATAGGCAAGTATCGCTCATGTCTTCATACCATGTTTTAATAAATATTCCGTTATCAGGCTGAAGAGCAAAATTGTCAGCAACATTATCGACAAGAATACATTTTGAAAGGTCTCTTCCAATTCTGCTCAAATCTTTTGCAATAAGTTGACCATACGGGGAGGTATGCTGCCTATATAGTCTATATTTGATCAATTTGTCCTTATCAATTTGGTCAAGAACACTATCTGCATAATCCTGCATGGCAGCAGTGAAAATAACTAGCTCATAGTATTTACTTAGCTCTGATAGGAACTCATCTCACCCTGGTCTGATCAAATAATGGCTATTAGCTCCAAGGTCAAAGAAATGGACCAATGTTTCATCAAGATCCAGAACGAGTGTAAACTCCCTATCTGGGTCGATCTCTGGCAAAAATGGTTCAACAACTGGAGGCAGCTCATCATCAAAGAAAAATGCATGGGAAGGAGACTCAATCTGAGTAGCATCTTTTGGAGGACCTCCAGAGCTATCCTTCTTTTCATTCTTCGTAGTCTTTTTGAAATTAAATCCGTTCATTTCGTCAACAGACTGGGCGATAAGGGCTCCTTCTCTGAACTGAATGGTGTCAAAACATAATCTTCTGATTTCGCCATACTGAATCTTTGACATCTCTGTACATTTACCTCCCTAGAACTAAGCTGGGAGCACTTACCTCAGCATTTTGGAGAAGAGCTTTAATAGAGAGATGAATGGGCTGACTCGGTTTGATGCTACAGATGCTGTACAGGACTGACTTGCAACTCTCAATATTTATTTTGAGTGCTTGCAAGGTCTCTTCTCTATCTTTATACAACCTGATTAGCTTGCTCTCACATATCTTCTTGATCTTGACTGCCCAAGAGTTTGGGCGACCACTTTTTGGGATCCTTTCCAGAAGTAATTTATTCAGAATCAGGCAGTTCTGGTGGATGAAAAATAGCAGATTTTTAAAAGGAACCCAAAGAGACTTATCGAGAGAATTCTCGAAGCTAAGGAACTGTAGGAGCGAGACTGATATCAATTCCATTTTCTGAGTTTCCATTATTGCATCAATTATAGCTTTGTTCTTAAAAAAATAAGGATAATTTGATCAGCGAGTAGCTAGAAGGATCTGTGACCATCCACCAGTCTTCTCAATTCGCTGTTGGGTCTTCTTGTTTCCTCAAACTCTCACTGATCTTCAGGAGATGTTTCTCAATCTCAAGGGCATCTTCAAGGTTGAATTTGTCCTTCCTCTCTTCAAAACTTTCAAAATTTTCGTAATTTTGCACTTCTCTACCAGCTAAATTATAAGGATTAAAGGAAGTTTCTTATTCCAACTTACGGTCTTCCATGTAAGAATCGTGATCGATTGGTACAGGTTCTTCGATATTGTCCATTTCATTAGTGTATTGGTCATCATCCATGATATCATGAGGAGCAGGACCAAGGACATCCTTCCTCATTCCGGACTGCTGATTCTTTCCACGGATCTTGGTCTCTGAAGTGTCTGGAGAGGTACCCAAAGGACTAGAGTCAAACCCCTTTTTACTTTCAGGTCTCTGATCTATAGCACCTACAACATTAACTGCTCTTCTGTGATCAGGCATTTGTAGATTGAGCATCTCTTGCTGGGCCATGAATGGATTTGCAACTGGGTCTGGAGGCATTTTGTCTAATTCAGGGTTGCCATACTTCACTCCTTCGTAATCTATCGGTCTCGGGTCTATATGATCCCATTTTATATCTGAAGCCTCGAAAGAGTCTCTCAAAGCCATGCTCAGAACCTCATTGTGTTTAAAATTACTAGGAATAGACCACAAATCTGTGGCTAAATTTTGGATATAGGAATTAGAAATTTGAATAGGGATCTTACCTTGGTTCATTTTTATTAGGTAACAAGAAATTTATTTTAAATTATTTATCTATAGCTGAATAAATTTGGGGTTTTGGGGTTTTGGGGTTTTGGGGG